GAGCCACAGTGAGGAGAGTCCAAATGCTACCACCACACAACACAGCAGGTGATTTGGGTCGTGGCTGAACGTTGGGGTCGGGAGGAGCAGTAACAGAACTCTCTGTTTCCGTCCTGTCCCTGCTGCCTGGCAGGGGCCACATTAGTGAGGTGGCTGACCTGAAAGCTACGGGAAGTAGAAGCAGAGGAGGCCTGTTCTCCCTTCTCAGCAGCCACTCTCGTTGTGTCTGCTCCCTGCCCTCGGCTGGCCACTGTGCTCCCCATGATCTCAGGTCTCCTTGGTCCCGTATTCCGCCTCATCTCCTCACCCGTGTTCTTGACGGAAGCTCCAGGTCACATAATCATAGCTCTGTGGCCGATGGCATCCTCTTCTTTGCAGCACGTTATCCACGCAGCAAAATACCCTTTCGTCATCCACATCTTCTGGGCGCACTTCGACATCCACTCTTTTGGTAAGTGTGATGCTGCAAGAGAGGAAGTGTGGTTTTCTTACACTTCTCAAGAAGGGATTCTTGGAAATCTCTTCATGAGGTGGCCAAGGCAGGAGAATCCAGAAATACTACAGAGCTGTGGGCCAGTTCCCCAAACCCAGGATGTGACTCCTGCGTCTTTGTGTGACTTTTTTTTCTTCTCACACTGAAGTAGGTAGGGCTTTGTATGTTCTGATAAATGCTGTAAGAACGTCCCTTTCTCACTGGGGTGGCTGTTCTTATTTCTTGGTCTGGGATATGCTGAACATAGGTGCTGACAATCATCAGTGTGAGTCTGGGCATCCTATGAAAGTGGAGGCTAGATGAAAACTTTTGATCAAATCATTGATTTCACTCTTGTGATTTAGAACAACCATTTGTGGAATTAGGCTGAGATGGTGAGGAAGACCCATTCTGGGCAAAGGTGTCTGGTTTGCCAGAAACCAGGGAAAGATAATGAGTGCTAAGGCTTCCTTAGAAGTCTCTTTTTCCTCAGATATACCATTTGAGGTTCAAATTCATCAGAACTTGCTGAACTAGTGAAGGAGAATATGGGAGAGAAGACGAGGATGTATTTCCTTGACTTAAACCGTTCGTTGGCCAGCCAGCATTGGTTTCTGGGGTGTTCGTCCCCGCTTGCTCTGTGCCTCTCTGACGGGGGATGATTTGCAGGGGGTCTGTTGTTAACCACCCCTGACTGATGACTCTTGGGAAATATGTAGCTGGAGGATAATTAGTAATTTCTTCTGGCTCCTTTGGCAGAGGGCACCCAGAACTCTGCCGCAGCCTTTTTAATTGGGCGGCTGATGTGCTCTCACCAGCAGAAGGGAGTGTGGCTCTCTCCTGACCTGTTTTGCTAATCACTGTTTCCTCCTGTCTTTCGCTGCTCCCCCTTTTTTAAGCACACAAGCGTGGACAGTGAGGCGAACCTCCATTCTTCCTCCAGCACTTTCTCTACCGCGTCCAGCACGGTTTCTGCGCCTCCCCCGGTGGTCA